TAAAAACTTTTATGTATTAAACTTGACATCATTTCCATAATATTTGAATGGATTTTAATACTTAAAGTGGTGCGATTTTATCTATTAAATGTCTACACATTTGAACTAGTACAAAAAATGATAATGCGAGTGCTCCGATGATGATATAAGCTCAAGCTAATTTGTCCGCTTACCCTGTACTATTAATTATTTAAGGTTCTAGTAGGTTAAGATACCTGCACCTTACGAGTACATTACATACTATCATCATCGACTGTCTGCTGGCATAAGCTATCGTCAATATCTTTCATTAAGACACATTCGACATTGAAGAAGTTTTTAAACAAACTTGACACTGGCAAAAGTGCAAGCGTACAATTCTATTGTATTAACTTGTATTCTATTATATTGTATACCAAAATAATATCTACAAAGTTAATCAGTATGCAAGGGTGTCGCCACTTTAAAAAGTTTGCACTGAACTGCAATACCAATACCGAACTATTTTCGGTATTGGTATTGCACTAAAAAGTAACTTATTGCAATTAGATACTTGTAAAATGATTGTGATCAATTCACAAGTGTTAATTATAAGCAGTAAAACGTGGTAAATAAGTAAATGCTATTTATTATTTTTGACTAAGTCAGCATTCTCATTGTTTTTATCGCAATGGCCTCCAAAGCAAAGAGCATAGAAGACGAAGACGAGTCCATTAGAACTTAATGACTATATTATAATATAGTCACTAAGTTCTAATGGCCTCGTATTTAGCACTTGTTTGAAAATCATTGTTCATTGTTTATTATAATTTGGTACAGAGGTACAGAGTTTTTATTTTGGACGGCACAACAATTATGTGATATTAGTATCACCGTCAGTGTACTTATTATGCTATTTTGTTTGTATACATAGTAAAATAAATATTAAATACTCTTTCGCGGATTATTTAAAAAATTACTGATCGATTTATTCAAAATCGATCTTGCAATGTTCGATTCAATTGAGAATCGGTTCTATTGCTCTCAAAAATATTGAATCGAAAAACGATATTTTTCTTGAAGAAATCGACTTTAGCGTTGGATTTTTTTTTTAATCGACTTGATCTGATCGACGATCTTAACATTAAGTCGGATCGACCCAGTGTTAAGGAGAGAATACTACGTAAAGAGAATGGATACATGAAATCGACAAAGTAGTTGGTTGATACGTACTTACTAGATTATTACTGTTGTGATTTAAATATGAATCACTCTTATAATAAAATATATTATAATAAACCATACAATTGGAATTTCTTTATCTTTGTTTTTTAATTATATATAATAATTTATCATAATAAATAAGTTTTAATACAAAAAAGGAGCTAGTTACTGAATGATCGACATCGAATCATATAATTTTGCCAAGCAAAATTTTGCCAACAAAAAAGATTTGGATTAGGTAAGCACGGCAGGAAATCAACCTTATCACATCCGATTTGATGAGTGGACATAACAAAGAAAGTTTATAATAGGTAGTAAATAACCCAAAGGAATAGGTAGTAACTATGCCAAAGGAACGAGTGAGATAATTCGAGTTCTTCGAAAAACACAACTCGATTCAACGCGTTGCCGGAATAACTCGAGATAAATTAGAATTAAATGGTTTGACTCGCCCATCGCTATTCGCTATGACGTTGCCAGATGCACTAACGCGAGCCGGGTCTGGCCACTGCGAACCGAATTTATCCAGTTTAGATCCAATCGACAATGCGCCTCGCTCCGTCACCCGACCAATCAGCGACAGCGACCATTCAGGCCAGGCCAGTCGTTCGTATTCCGTCGGGTGTTTAGTTGAACTTTTTCTGTTTATCTTTATTATTTTTCCGCTGATAACTGAAAATTCGCTAACTGCATTTATCTAGTGTTAACCCACGGTGTACTACATAGTTTTTATTTGTACTGTTCTGATTTTCGTAGTGTTGTACATCGAAACATTTTGACTTCGCTACCAGTCTTTCTTTGCTCTTCGTTTGGAAATAATGTTAGACAAGTGAACTAAATAGACGATACATACATTAGTTTGACTAAGCTTTTGAAGTGCGGGACCTTCCGTAATCGTGACAAATGGTTGTTGAGGCGGCCCGTGGATCAGCTATGGTGGTTGCCGGTGGTTTGGCGTACCGTGTCGGTTCTGGAGCCTTCATCTTCTTCAATTTGACTAGACAGGACTATAGCTGACGAGTATTATGCTCGTTCTCGAGCAGAGACTGAGTGCGCGGCATTTAGGACGTGGGGTAGTTCTCAGAGCTCGATTGGTGCACGGAGTAGAAGCGCGAGGTTGGCGCATGAAATTTTCGTTGCTAAAGGCCGAGGTTGAGATCGAGGCGGACCCCGACACCTACCGAGAGCTCGCGCGACGATTGAAAGCTGCTAATGTACACGTAAGGCCGGCGCGCTACTCACGTCTATCGTAAATATCCAGATTTTACCGAATTATACTACTTTAAATACATACGCACACGACGAACGCAATTAACAGTTTTTCCTTAGTAAAACATGCATATTTATTTTAAACAAAATTTTACATTATGTACACTTTACAACATCATTGTAATTGTAAAACAGCTGACTTCAATATGCTAGTTGTAATCAGTGCTATTTTGTGAATAAGAAAGAAAGAAACAAATTTGGCGGCAGAAATAGATAAGAAGGTGGTACCTAATCATACAGATTCCTAGGCAGAAAAGGGAGTCTTTATAGGACACTACCTTATAGGTGTAGTGTTGGTTATTGTTATACTCACTAGATGATGATCTTACAGACAATAAGGTGTGAAAGACATATGTCCAAACAAATACTCAAAAGCTGCTCAATTTTAAGACACCGCAAGTACTTAATATAGTGCTGTCTTTATCACTTTCAGTCAAAGTAACTGTGACACCACAAGACTTATCGACATCTTAAAATTGAGTAGCATTTGAGTATTTGGCCATTAGGGACCCAAATTTTAAGAAAGCCTTGTAAATTATTAGAAATAAAGTGGGCACTAACCATCTGAGCCATAGTAGCTCAGATGATTAGCGCTTGCCGTAAGTTTCACAGTACGCGAGCAACCCGGGATCAATCCCCGCCGGCACCAATGAAATTGATAGTTACAATTTTAAGTGTTGATTTAGCACATGCTCGGCGTGAAGGTAAACATTGTGAGGAAACCTGCATGTCTGATAAATTAGAGAAACATATTTCGGAAGACATGTGAAGTTCACCACCACATATTGCGGCAGCGCAGCGGACACCCTTGGCCTAAAACCCTCTCAGAAATGAGAGGAGGCCTTGTCCAGCAGTGGGACATATATAGGCTATAACTTTAAAGTGGGCATAATTTTGTAATGTAATTGCCCATCGGCCTGTGTCTAGTATTGGTATTACAGAAACAAAAGTAAGTTCTTTAGATCCCTTCCTTCCTGGCCAATTTTACAACAATATCAATTCCCAAAAATGCTATGAAGCAGTACATCTACACAGTAATAGATGTAACATTTGGGACAACAAAAAGTTTGTGCTGGAGTCCTGCCTGTGTTAAGACACCACAATGTGAAGGGGGTAAATGATTTAATAATTTGTTGAGACTACATAAATTCCTTTTCCAACTATCATTACTGCCTAACAGCAGTAGCCAACCTACGCAAACCGAATATAACACTGTTAACCCCTTTAACAATTTGTTGAGACTACAGAAATTCTTTTCATAACTATTGTTACTGCCTAACAGCAGTAGCCAACCTACTTATACCGAACATAACACTGTTAATAACATCAAAAATAGCCTAGGGTGCATTGATTTGTAGCAGCCAACCAGCGGGTATTACCAAACATGTGACAATTGGCACCATTAGAAAGTTAATAGTGCTAGAGTACTGATAATGCTATTATTCCCCATCACCTCAGTATGTAGGGTTTACCATATTTCGACACAAATACTGATTTTAGTAAGATTTTTCAACCAACTTCAAAAAAAAGGAGGAGTTTCTCAATTCAACTGTTTTTTTATGTGTATTACCTCAGATGTTTTTTTAGGTGAACCGATTTTGATGATTCTTTTTTATTTGAAAGCTGGTGCTTCTCATGTGGTCCCATATGAATTTGAACCATATGTAACTAGTAGTTTTTGAGTTATCCTTAATAATGAGTATTTAATTGACCTCAACTATGTTGATGATGGTCTCATTTTTTTTACATCAAATTTGGTTGTAATTTTTTTTTAATTTTACCACTTCTTTACTTTTACTACTTGTTTTATCAAATTTATTTGTTTTGGAATTCTTTTTGTTAGGGTACACGTTGATACACCTTTACCTGTGTATTTCTACCAATATTTACCATTTTGTTCTTGTTGGATTACCAGTATAGTTATTATGCACCTCGCTTTATTTATTTTTTTTATAACGGAAAGGATTACACATGAGCACACAGTCGACCTGATTATAAGTAGATGTTATGGCCCATAGATACCTACATATTATATCTTCACTTTAGAATTTTCTTTTACTTTTCTTCTTAAAAAACGTATGTAGCGTAAACCCTCCCACACTAGGATTTTCTGCTATATTGTGAAGGCAGTTTTAAAACACAAATTGCAGAAGGACAAACATCCAGACCCGGAACAATTATTTGTAGGCCATACAAATACTTTTTCCATGCAGGATTCGAACCCTCAGCACCCAGCACAGCAACTCATTGATAAGCCACTGCACCACGGAGCCGTTAACTTGGAGAATAACGATGCCTTGTTACCAGTAACAAGGGATTTTGGTTCTACACACTCACTACACAAAACACACTAGCATTCTGCTGCCGCTTTGTGCTGGTTTACCATTGCACTAGTCCTTCCCCAAATCACCAATTTATTCTGTAGCCATAATATCTGTAGTAGCCACCCATTTATCATTTTTACAGTGCATTTTTTTTTCGTTATATAAATTTTTAACATATAATAACCAAATTTGTATTTAAAGATTACTTATTTATTTTTGTTACAGTGTGGCCCCAAAGGCAGTTGCAAACCCAATGGTGGTGAACAAACCTGTTTTGCCACAACCTGGTAAGCAATATATTGCATGAACATGTTTAATCAAAAATTTTATTTATGTGTAAATGTATGTTATATAGTTAATTTTGTTTCTTAAAAATTGTGTTTATGTGTCATGTGGCTTTTATATTTATGATAGATAAATCAAATGTCAATAATTCTTGACACTAAAGCTGCAAGTTTACACAATAACAGGTGTATCAGACACCTGACAACACCAGACATCATCATCATCATCATTACAGTCCACAACTGAATATAGGCCTCCCCAATAATGCTATAAAGCATGGTCCTGAGCCACCTGTATTTAACAACTATCTACATGTCTTATTAGGTCATCACTCCATCTAGTGATTGGATACTTGTTATATAAATTTAGTGAAATAAAATTTAAATTCATTTATAAGAGTTATTTATTTTATAAATGTAAAGACTACAGAATATTTTTGTATATAATTTCCTTTTTTGATGCAGGCATTCTTGTCGCCAACCAGATGAAACCACTGTATTGTCCTGAGTAAGTATCGTAGTAGTTCACCTCAAAATTACTTTAATTCATCAGCCTTTAAAAGTCAGTAATTGCAGTGCTGATATTTCTACTTAGATTGTGCTATTACAGAAAACTTGGATTTCACATTTTAGTCATCCCAGCTTGTATAGGAAAAAAATAAGTAAAAGCTGACTTCAAAGAACTATAAATAATTTCATATTCGGAAGTACTAAGACTTAGTGTATAGCAGAATTAAAGATCAGGCTTTGGTAGAGCCATGCTGCTGAATGGTAAAGCCATGAGCTATATTACTGGTATAGATTTAGCATGAATAGGTCGGCTCGACCGAGTAAGGACCACGCTCTCACAGAATACCAATGTATAATAGCAGCTTAACGCTGTGTTTCATATGGTGAATGTAGAGAACCAGAGACCCTTTTTAGTGGAAACGAGGCATTCCATCTTAGTCCTCACGGGTGACAACGCGTCTGCATTTTGATTCGTAATCGAGGATAGATGTAGATGTCTATGGGTCACAGCGACCACTTACCGTCAGGTGAACTGTGTGCTCGTTTGTCACCCATTCATTAATTCTTTTTGTTACTTCAGTGAAAGCGATGTTAAAGTGAGCAGTCCGCCATGCCACTCGCCTGGTGCCATCTTGCCAGATCTGCCACAACCTGCTGAAGATCCCGACAAGGTAATATTTTTAATGTCATTATTAAGTAACATTATGTAGATAGTTTAGGTGTCAGGAGCTGGGTGACTATGTATTTTATACAAACAATCATGAAATTGATTGTTTCACCCTTTAACTGTATCCATTCTTTATTATTAAACAGATAAAAATACTTGTCTATCAAGTCCAAATTATGCATAGAATTATTGTATTATTTTTTGTATTAATTGTGTAAATAGTTTCTATCCGTTAAAACAATTTCAATTTGTCCTCAGAACTGTGGACTATCAAAGGACGCGACATCATCGGAGACTCAGTCGTGGCTATCGTTGAACCGTTTCTCGCAACATGCCGCCACCTTTGCCAACTTTTCGGGCGCTGACTTGCTCCGGTACGATGCAATACAATATGTTGGTTATATATCTCATTCATCGCTTTCATATTTAGCGTGTACGGCAACACCGAGCATCACTACGCAACACACAGCATGGCGCAAGGGAGCGCTTGTAGCTCTGTAGTCATCAAACAATGTAGTATTAAATATATTATTAGCAATTCAAAGCAACAAATCAGTGATTGTGCAAGATAAAGACAGGTTGTTGATGTCATGTATAACATGATAATAATTATTCTATTATTCATGATTTCTACATGACCCTAGGTATTTACAGACACGAATACTCGCTGCCAGGTGAATATTACCACAGTATATGAGTGGAATGTAATATAGGTAAAATATAATTTTTGTATTTATGAGCATAGTATAGCTTTATTAATGTTATTCTCAATATGCGAATGGCGAATGAAAGTTATAGTGTTTATTTATTAGAAAATGAGAACTTATCATAGAAAAGTAAAAGTAAACTTCCGTATCAGATCGAAGTAAAAGTAAACTTCCGTATCAGATCGTCCCTAGATTTAGAGAGGGGTCGCCGTATACTTTGCTTGCCGAACGGTACAAGGCTACCACTCGAGAATCTTACCCGTCGGTTAACGGTTCTTAGAGTTAGTAGCTGGCCCATTGCCACGTCAGCTTGCTGATTTCGGCTATATCTTCTTCTTCCATTGTTGATATCTTCTTTACAAATTCTATCATATATCCAATTACAACTATGTACAAATAAATAAAATTGGATTGGCAGTTTGTAATGTCAAAATTACAACTTTTTACTAAATGCATATGAAAGTATATACGGTACTAATAACAAAAATACAATTTTTAAAGTTTTTGTCTGTCTGTCTGTCTTTTTGTTCCGGCTAATCTTCGAAACGGTTGGTCCGATTTTGACGGGATTTCCACTGGCAGATAGGTGATGTCACAAGGAGTAACTTAGGCTACTTTTATTTTATAAAAAGAACTAGCTGTGCCCCGCGGTTTCACCCGCGTCATCACGTGTCCGAGGTGCGCGACATGACCTAAGTTCAAGCATTTTATAACGGCTAGGGTTTAAGCGTTGTTCGCGCGCCCAGCCAAGTATTCAATTATTTTAATTTTACATTCTCTCTTAAACTATGCGTCCAAATAACATGGTATAAAGAACAAAGTTAATCTTCATAAAATTGTCTTGATGATGAAGTAACTTTCGTTCGTAAGGATAAATAGTCCATGCCTAATAATAACGCTCATAAATCACTTTTAAATTTTCAATATTTTTTTGTCACAAAATAACAATTTATGGCTTATGTATAAGAAATAGACATATGGTACCGCAGACATTTTTTTAGACGGAGTAAAGGTCTATATTTTTCTAGAACATTGTATTTACGTATCCCTAACGATAACACCAGCGTACGCGCATAAATAATTTCGGGATTGCTTATTCTTCCGACTTGCTTAACAAATATCCATATTTAAGGCTAGCTGAGTAATATAACTTAATGCTAGATAGCCTATACTATTCCACATGAATCTGGTTATAATATACAAAAAGAATTTTTCAAATCGGACTGGTAGTTCCAGAGATTAGCGCGTTTAAACAAACAAAAAAAACTCTTCCGCTTTATTATATTAGTATAGATTAGGGTTCCGCGCAAAAAAATTAAAACCCCCAAATAACACGCGGGCGAAGTCGCGGGAAACAGCTAGTTTTTTTATAAGATTGGGTGACAAAGGAGCACACACAGTCCACCTGATGGTACGTGGTTGCTTTGGGCCATAGACATCTACATCTATCCTGGTTTGCGAATCAAAATGCAGATCCGTTGTCACCCGTGAGTACTAAGATGGAATGCCTCTTTTCCAGTAAACAAGGGTCTCCGGTTCTCTATACTCACCATACGAAACACAGCAGCCTTAAGCTGTTATTTTACGCTGGTATTTTGTGAGAGCGTGGGCCTTCCCCAGTCGAGTTGACCCATTCGTGCTACAACTATACTACTAATATAGCTGCAGTATGGCTCTTCCACGTAAATGCATATGCTAATAAGATTAAAATTGTTACCAGGTTGTCCCGCGATGACATTATACAGATCTGTGGCTTAGCTGACGGAATACGCCTATTTAATGCTTTGCATGCCAAGTAAGTATTAATCGTATTGTAATAATGTGTTATAATTTAAAGAAGATAATAAGTAGTATAGCTATTTATTTGAAATAGAATAAGGGTGACATATAAGCACATAGTCTACCTGATGGTAAGTGAATTCTGTGCCCCATAGACACCTACATCAATCCTCCATTCAGAATCAAAATGTAGATGCATTGTCACCCCTGTTCTCGTTAGCAGTAAAAGGGGTCTTCGGTTCCTTACACTTCTTGTACAAACAGCTGCAAGTGACCTAGACAACCGATGCATTGTCGCCCTTGAGGTCTAGAGTAGAAAACCTGTAAATAAGCTCTCTTATCTTTCAAACCAAAATACAAGAAAGGTTTCACCGCTGTTTACCGGCAGGTTTGTGATATGCAAAAATGTTTTTTGAAGTGAAAATTTCTTTACAATCATTGTGGTTTGAGACTTGATAAAACAAAATAGCGACACTAAAACGTGACAAACATATACGTCTAAAAAAAGGATTTAGTCTGCGTGAGAATTAGATAAAATACAGTAAACAGTGCTTTCCTGAAGGTTTAACTTCTACCACGTGTGAAATGCACACGTTTTTTTGTGTAATAACGAGTGTTTTGCGGCAGACGTATCGAGCCACGCCTGACGGTGTACGTGTGTCCCGGCGGCGGCAGCGTGTACAGCGCCCTGTACCTGCACACTTGCCGCGCGCAGGAGATGCTCCACAAGCTCAGAGCGCTCCTTCACAACTCTGTTAACAAGGTAACATATAGGCTGTTCAATTAGATACGGTCGCCTTTGTGTCGCGCCGCTTCGGCACTTGCCACTTCTTGTCAAAGGCGCCGCCGCGATATCAAAGGTCGCCGCATGCGGGGGAATTTGTCATTTTAAAATGAAGCATCATAGTGAAAAGTTGTTTGCTACCTGTGTTTATCATTTATATTCGTATTTACAATAGGTATCCATAAGAATGAAGAATTTTATTCTTAGAATAGAATAACATTTATTTAACAAACACAATAAAAATAATGAAATAAAAGCAAAATAATAAGTGGGCCTCCGAGTGTACCGACACATCCTAGTGAGAACGTGTATACGGTTCGTTTGGCGTGCTTTGCCACCACTCGGGATCGCTCGCCACGACTCGTCTCACACAGAACACTGTCGGTTTTTCATCTGTGCACAAATCAAAGGCGCTCGCCTGCACTCGGCAAATCGCATCCACATGGTAGTTGGCCATGTCAGTATGTTCACTCATTCAAACTTAGCCAACATGTAGACTGTAGCACTCGTCTTTTAAGAATTTGCTTACGCTTGCGTTGGCTGAGGCTTGACCTTGACTTGATGTGTGACAAACGGGCACATAGCTACCTGATGGTAAGTGGTTGCTGTGGCCCATAGACATCTACATCTATCTTCGATTACGAATCAAAATACATATGCGTTTGTCACCCGTGAGAACTAACATGGAATGCCTCCTTTCCTGTAAAAAGGGTCTCCGGTTCTCTACACTCAACATATGAAACACAGCAGCGTTAAGCTGCTATTTACGCTGGTATTCTGCTGTATGTGCTGGGGCCAGATTCATTGATTAGAATTTCACATTTTAATTATAGGAGATGATGATCTAAGGTGTCTATAATATATATATATATATATATATATATATATATATATATATATATATATATAATAGACACCTTATATATTATAGAATAAGGTGACAAACGAGCACACAGTCCACCTGATGGTAAGTGGTAGCTGTGGTCCATAGACATCTGCGTCTATCTTCGTTTGCGAATTAAAATGCAGATGCGTTGTCAGCCGTGAGGACTAAGATAGAATGCCTCTTTTGCAGTAAAAAGGGTCTCCGGTTCTCTACACTCACCATACGAAATACAGCTGCATTAAGCTAATATTTTACGCTGGTATTCTGTGAGAGCGTGGTCCTTCCCCGGTCGAGCCGACGCATTCGTGCTACAACTATACTATTAATATAGCTGCAGCATGGCTCTACCACGTAAACATGGCTCTACCCCGTAATAATATATATATATATATATATATATAATATATATTGAACTTATTTTTTTTAGGACTTTGAAACAGTATTGGTACTGGGGCCCAATGGCGCAAGGGTTCGTTTGACAGACGACCTGGTTCGCCACATGCCTGACAATTCCACTTACCAATTGGAACAACTGGAGGACAACACTTTGTTACTGAGCGCGACCAGCAACTAAACTTCCATACCATTGAAGTTTGCAAGTGTATAAAAGATGAAACGGATCACCTATATATTGTTACGAGCTTGGGGTTCGAGACAATTAAAAACTGCCGATTGAATTACCAAAATTGACACTTTAATTACACAACACTAATTACAACTTAAAACCACACTAATAATAAAACACAATTCTACTACTGATCTCTTTAGTTCGCAGTTGTATCGCTTCGAAGTATTCGCTTGTATCGCCAATTAAATTTTTACTCGGTTGCGGTCTATACCGGCCTTATATAGAGCCTCAGGTAGTTTCTAGAACCTTCTACTATAGAAACTTCTAGAATGTTCGAGTACATATCGTTCCCGATTGACTAGGTGTCGATAGTTCTAGAAAGTTCTTGATTCCCTAGTTCTGCTACTCGATACTAGAGGGCGCTAGTGGTAACTAGTGTCGCCATGTACCATGTATTAATCGTGGAGCGCAACAATATTTTCATGTGTAAAGATGACTTGGAATATTTTTAATGGTGTTTTAAAAATTAATTATGAAAAATCTGATGTTTTAAATTTCTATAAGTTCGTGTATCAGTAGCATATGTTAGTTGATAAAACTTGAATATTCTGTTCTTTCTGAAGTATTTAGAATTTTAAGTAAATGATGCGATGCTGTGTAGCTGTCCCACCAGATGATTAACGCTGAAATTCATAGTCAAAGAGTGGAGTGTGTGAAGAATCCTCCGATATGAATTATTAAGTATTTACCTAGAAGTTTGTTCTTAAATCAATCTTCTTTGCCTCTCACAAACAATCACTGACTAATCCCCTACCTGAATAGAATTTCATGCAACATTGTCTATTAATTAAAAAATAATTTTTGTCACTTTGTAAACTATTAAAATATAAAAACAAAATAAAGTAAGGTTAAAATTATACTGATGACGATTATTATATGATTGATTGTTATCACCAGTACTTTTTATAAACTAATTTATTTTACAAAATACTTTGTTTTCGTTGACGAAATTCGAGAAATTAGCAACCGATCCCTGATCCGCTTCGACACCTGTAGAATTGGGGGTTTTCTTTTGTCTATGAAGTGATTTAAGATTCTAACATAGTGCCTGAATCGTCCCGTAGGAGAGTATGATTTTTTTTTATTTATCTTGAGTAATCGCTAAAATATGAAAAAAAATGAATAAATTAAAATTATAATCTAAACGGAGATTTGCATAGCGAACTCTGCTTTATTGTGCCGCGTTATTGGTGTCTTGTCTGATAAATTTTATTATTTGAAAGTAGAAGTCCGAATTTTTGTTGTGTAATTACAAGAACAAAATTTAATAAGTAATACTGCGATTCTTTATTGAGACTGCAGACATGCAGTAAAATCAAATATTAGGACCATTTTTTACTTTGTAATTTCACTAACTTTCGCCTCATTTGTTCATGATATAAACTAACTCTCATGTATTGTGTTAACGATATCGCTTATTAAGTAGGTAAATATCCTAGATTTTTCGTAATATTAAATACACCCACATTTATTTTTATATTCTTATATTATGCAATATTAATTGTGCAATTGTATATTTTTAAGTTTATTAAAGTTGTATTAGGGGCAGCTGAAGTTATTCCCACTATTATTATGCTAGTTTTAATTGTTCTTCGTAAGTATTCATGCGCTTGCTCATATTTGATTCGTTTGAACAAGTTAGGAATATTTACAACTGACATCTCGTAGGCAGACATCGCCATCATGAATAAAACAAAACAAATTTAAAAAGCTAGAATGCCCTTATATTGTCTATGGTTTTAATTGAAAAACTGTCATTCAATTCAACATAATTGTCCAAAACTACTTTTGTGATTGATCCCCGGATGAAAGAAGCTTACACCCTCTTGTTTTGGGGATGATATAGAATGGAAAATAACAGAAGGCGTGGCAGCATCTCTTACTACTCCTCTGTTTGGGGTTGTGGATAAGCTTATATTATAGCGTAAGTTTTTGTGTGCTAACTCCTATTCCATTCGTTTAAACGAGTTTCTAATATTCACAACTGATCTGTACTATCCCACAATCAGTTTCTTAGTAAAGTGTACAACAATTTTTTTTGTGGTACACTACTCAGAAACTATCACACTTTCAGGTTTGCGTTTTGACATAGTATTTTCGATTCATGTCTAGATGTGTTATCAATCATATATAAATATTATTTTATCCACATTATAACTGTAATTTAAAATTAAAAAATTTGTACAACTGACTTCAATATAAATTATTAAGAATAACTCAAAAGCTATTGGTCAGACCTTGATCAAAGTTATATGGGACCACACGAGAAGCACGAGCTTTCAAATAAAAATGAATCATCAAAATCGGTTCACCCAGAAAAAAGTTATGTGGTAAAACACACAAATAAGGAATAAAAACATACAGTCTAATTGAGTATCGTCTCCTTTTTTAAGTCGGTAGAAAAAATAAAGATACAACAATTTTCATTAATTACATTTTTATTGTATTACTAAATCTATAAAAACAAAAAAAAAATACTTTGTAGTAGTACCACGTTACATACGTTAGATGGTAGGCGATGATTATGATTGGAGCATAACATGATGGAAAAATGTCGGGGTAACCTCTCAGGTTCTGACATATTTTTTCAGAACAATTCTTTATTTAAATGTTATAAGAATTAGCGAGCCATTACAAAGTGGTACCTTTAGCCTAGTATTTCGAAGGTGGAGATCGCAATTATAAACAAAACACGTATATAAAAATTTAATACATACGTATCTGAAATAATATAGTTCAAAAAACCACAGCAGACGTTGGGTATTTCCAATCGTATCTTGAGCACGAAAACGAATTTAATGTGAGCGAGTGTATGATGCCGTTACCTAAGTTATTAGAATTACAATATATTATAAACCTTATATTAGTTGTGCCCGCAAAGGCAGTTATTTGTAGCTTCTTCTATGGATTATAATTATGATTATTGATATTGTCTTTCTAATGTAAGATTTTTAGTCTACATACATTAATGTTTAGAAAGAGGTACCGCACCTTCATTCGTGTAGAGATGTTCAGAACCTGTGACGGTTTTTAACATTTTGTGCCTTATACGTGCCTGTCTTATGGGCAGATGTAGCGCTTGTTGCATAACGGAGTATTAAAGTATATTTTGTTAGATTTTATGTATAACGTATTAAATACACAAGTTACTGTTGCATGAAACAATTTAATTAGTATTTAGAATATTAATTATATGGAAAACCTATACATGTAATTGTATAGTGAATAAATTTTATTAAAAATCATTTTCTTTTTCTTAAATAACCCTCACATTACATTATTAGAGCAAAAAAAATGCAGTGTTGTTTATGGTAGGCTTAGGCAAAAAATATCTATATACAGGTTGATTGGGAGATGTGTGCAAAGCTTTCAAGGGCTGCTAGTATAGACAAAGTCTAAGCATTTTTTTTTAATAAGTTTGTATGATTTTTAGCGAAAATGCCCAAAATTTTCTAATTAACTTTTTATTTATGGCCAAATTAAACAATAAAAGAAACATGTTTTTTATTTTATTCTAACTATTAAAGTCGTGTAAGCAATCTAATAAGACATGTTTTAAACACGTTTCCTGTCCCATACAAAAATACAAAATTCACCGACACGTCCAATAGGTTTTTTTTGAATAATTTGTTTTTTTATAGTCATAGGGGGGTAGCCCTAGTAATAATATCATTTAAAAAAAATAACTAAAAGTAGGCTTTATTTCCCTGAAACACATATGGTTCATGAGCGTAGAGAGACATTTTTGCTCCTGCACGTTCATGAACCACATGTGGTTCAGGGAATATTTTTTTATACTTATGAGTTTTTCATAAGTATTTATTTTATTAATTACTTTACTATTATTATTTATGTATTTTCACGATATTTACGAACTTGTGCACATTTGATTATCTGTGGAATATTTTCCATAGATAATAGATTATAGATATGTTGTCAATTATGTTATGTCACTGTCATATTTATGAATTCTGTTCATGAAGTTATAGGTTATATTGTACGCGATTTTGTTGTTCAAAATGCCGCGAAGATTATCAACTGAGGACTTGCGACGAATACTGGAAGAAAGTGACTATGAATTGAGTAACGATGACACGGATTCGAACGGCGGCGATAGTGATGTACAAAACGAGTCAGATTCTGATATTTCGGATCAAGAACCGAGTATTTTTGCAGATGACGATATCGATGATCCGGATTTTGAACCAGGTGAAATTTCCCGCTCAAACATTGTAACCGATGACATTGGTAGTGATTCAACAGCTGATAATTTATCCGATATCGTCATAAATTCACCTCGGCCAGAAACGAGCAGAAGGCGGACTGCTGGTGAGATCATGCGGCTTACTCTGCAAGAAATAAATGATATAGATACGAGAAAATGGCTGGAGTCAGGACATCTTACCACTGTCACGTCAACCTTATAAAAACAGCCCAACTATTCATATCCAAGGTGAACAATCTGTTGTTTCCATTTATCGACGTATATTGACCGACGAAGTGTTAGATCTTATGGTCACTCAAACAAATCTGTACGCTTCTCAACTGAAACAGAACGTCAACATATCAGTTCATAGTCCCATGAATCGGTGGACAGACATTACACGCGAAGAAATGTTGAAATTTATTGCCTTGTACATGTTGATGGGTATTGTGAAATTTCCGACGATTGAATCGTGTTGGAATTAGATTCTATTTACTACCATCCAATATTTCACAATGTAAACATGTCGTATAATCGCTTCTCATCAATATTACGTTGCTGGCACTTTGTTGATAATGAAGTTCCGAGGGATCAAAACGAACGTCTGTACAAAATAAAACCACTTTTGAACCTTGTTATCAACAACTGGAAGAACTTACTGACACCTAATGCATGTATCGTCATTGACGAGTCGATGATGCCATTTAGAGGGAGGATATCTTTCCACAACCCAACAAAAGCTCACAAATACGGCTTGAAAATCTATAAACTTTGCACAGAAGATGGTTTTGTCTGGAACTATGACATTTACATAGGTCGCGACCCTGAGATCGCTGATTTGGATAAGCCGGGAAGTGTCGTAGTTCAGCTATGTGATGGTCTTCTAGAAGCTGGACGGATAATTGTGTGCGACAACTATTACAATACCGTTGGATTAGCAAAATATTTGCTGTAGCATAAGACAGACTTATGCGGCACTTTGCGAGTAAATAGAAAAGAAATTCCATGGGCAATAATATCGAAAAAAATAAGACCTAAAAAAGGTGAAGTAGTTGCTCGACAGAAGGACAATGTAACAGTGATGAAATGGAGAGACAAACGCGACGTTGCAATGATTTCTACATGCCATGACGCTACTATGCGAATGTCTTCGGGATATCGGCCAATTTTGAAGCCGGAAGCCGTGCTCTATTACAATGAGCGAAAAAAAGGCATAGATGTATGTGACCAGCTTTTGCATGGTACAAAAAAATCGGTTTAGATATTTTGATAAAATCTAATTAAAATAAAATTTGAACTGAAATTATCAATTTTTAATGTTTAAAATAACTGCCGTGATTATTGATTACAAGCACAGACCCGGTTTTTGCTCTACAAATACTTCTCTGTTCAAATATGTAGCGTAGTAAAATTCTAAGAAAAAGTTGTGGGGATTCTCTAAACAATAGCTGCCGGTTGTATGATATTTCCAGGTAGCTCGCACAATGAATTTAATTTTAAAGCAAAACCGACTTAGTTATTAGGGAAACAGAGTAATGTTTCTTTAGTTAGGGTCAGTTAGAATTAACTGAATAGAGCCGGAAGCCATAACATTAGTCAAATAACTACTGCCCTTGTGAGTGGACGTTATCGCCTTGATATTTAACCTGGTTCAGTTGAAGCCCTCTGCGCTCCTGCAAGTGTTGATCTCGTTAGTTGTTTACAACTTTGTTCACCGTGTCCATTCGTAGCATTGTGCTCCTGCACGTGTTGATTTTGGACTACATAATATGTTGATGTACTGAGTTGACATTTAGTGCGCTCTTACGCTGTTTTTCTTGATTATTAAGTGGCTATGGCTACTTTTTCGAATCAGGAATATACGGATATCATCTTTATGTATGGTAGAGCAGATGGCAATGGATCATTAGCACGACGGATGTATCAAGAGCGCTATCCGAATCGCAGAGTGCCGAATGTTCGAGTATTTTACAACACGTATCGACGATTGACTCAAGATGGGATACACCAAGTGGAACCTGGGGTGAACCCAGGCATACATGCACCTGGCGTCGAAGATGATATTTTGGCAGCATTTGAAGCGGATCCTACAACTAGTACTAGAGTAGTAGCTCGAAATTTAAACATTTCCCAATGGAAGGTGTGGCATACAATGCACCAAAACGATAAATATCCTTTCCATGGCAGTGGTGTGCAAGGTCTGGAAGTGCAAGATTTCCAAAGAAGGATGCAGTTCTGCCGTTTCCTACTTACAGGGATATTGAGGATGCATGGTTTTTAAAATCAATCTTGTGGACAGATGAAAGTAAATTTTTTAGGGAGGGAATCACCAATTTCCATAACCTGCACAAATGGGTGAACAAGAACAACAATCCACATTAGAAAAAAAAGTATCCTTCCAGAGAAAATTTTCAGTAAATGTGTGGGATGGAGTAATAGGCAGAACATTGTTCGGGCCCCACTTCTTGCCGGACTCTTTAAATGGCGAGAATTACTTGCAATTTTTGGAAATGGATTTACCGTTGCTTGTGGAGCAATCCGGTGCCCCGATATTTGAAACAGATCGAGAGGTCATTTTTCAACAAGATGGCTGCCCAGCGCATTGGACTTTGACTGTTCGAGAATTTGTAAATAACAACTTCCCTAAAAGTTGGATTGGACGAGATGGACCCATCCCTAGGCCTTCACGGTCACCTGATCTGAGCCCAATCGACTTTTACGTGTGGGGCCGGGCCAAAGAACTAGTTTTTACGAGCATAGAAATAAATACAAAGGAAAAACTAATACCTTAAATAAATTCTGCATTTCAAAACCATGAAGGCGGAGATGAAACTTAAAATCACGACCACAGAAGTGAGAAACCGGGACCGTGCTTGCATTAGAAATAACGGCCGCCAGTTTGAACATGAATAATAAAAGATTTCAAATAAAATTTCGTTTTAATAAGTTAGCCAAAAATTTAAATTTACTCCCTCAAATTGGTTTTTAAGACTTAGATTCAACATTTTTTAAGATATCTGCATGAATGATACCTCAAAACAAAAAGCGATAATCAAGAATATTTCAAAAAGATTTGAACGAAAAAACCTAGCCGTCTTTTTTTTAAATAAGAGCTAAAAACTGTATTTATAAATTTTAGAACTTTTTCGTGAACTTCAAACGTTATTAAAAAAATATCTTAAGATGCATGTGCTTAAAACATGTCTTATTGGATTGCGTACACATGACTTTAATAGAATAAAATAAAATACATGTCTTTTATTGTTTAATTTGGTCATAAATTACAGTTTATTAGAAAATTTTCGGCATTTTTGCTAAAAATCATAAAAACTTATTTAAAAAAATGTTTAGACTTCATCTAAGACTGACATGGCTTAAGGCTTAAATGGTTCTAAATTGTCTATATTAGCGCCCCTTGAAAGCTTTGCACCCATCTCCCAATCATTCTGTATATCGTCGATATTTTTAATGGCGATATATCGTTATTTATTTTAGAGTATCGAATTCGTATCAATTTCGATATATTTTAAAATGTCGTATTAATGGACGAAACAATAAAAGGAGCTACAAAAAGCATTCATGTATGGTTGTAGTTTTTTTTTTCGTCATCTAACCGTCAGTAATATTAAATTTTGGGCCTGATCCTGTACGCAAATGATGACGATATAACAATATTTATCACGAGATATATATCGATATTTTTTCCCTTGCCATCCCTAGTATATGGTGATACCGATTTAAGACTTTATTTACGATGTCGGGATTTCGCTAAACTCCTTGTTTATTAGAGGTGTAAAAGTAACGAAAAAAAGCGTACCCGTATGTATTCGTTACTTTAACAATTAGTACTCGTTACTATAATATCGTTACGTTACTTCTGATACCTCACAACATGCTGTTATGTTAGAGCATCGAATCGAGTCGTATTGCGTACGCGTACAGTATGACCTCGCGGCGTATTTTGAACCAGACTTGTGTTTAAGTTATTCTAAATTTAGTGTAATTTAATAGGTAAAGTGTAAAACTACAAGTG